CTGTTTATCAACCGATGAATATTATGCGGATCATGCTGTTGCAAATGATATTCCAACAGCAGGGATATAGTAGCGATAAAATGTGAATAATTTCAGTGCGAATCAATGCGTCGTTGATGCCAGTTCGTCCTTGGCTTGTACCATCGGACAGCTGCATGTCAGCTTGTTTCGAACTGCAGTCGTTCGGTGATACCACACTTGAGCCTTATTCTAGTCTCATAAATCTTCTTTATGTGTATCCAATCTCTCTAAAATATGATTCACAAAAAACGTTCAACAAAGCCAGGAATATTGCATGTTCCGTCAAATTCATCTCGGCTGCCACTAGAGGATGTGAAGGCGATAAGGTGACTGACTGAATCTTCTTAGAACGATATACAACTACATTAGATTATGTAATGGACAATTCAATATGCTATCCTTCTGCTGCAATATAATAAACAACATTTTGAGTTGTCTCGTATTCAAGTACTATTTGTTTTGTTTTTTTTACTTTCACGCTGTTTAATGAGTTCGAAATTATTGAAATTAATGTTTTTGATTGAAGGCAATCTACGATCGTTTCGCGTCGCCAACACCATTCGTCAATTCAGCACGCTGCGCAATTCAACATCACGAACAAAATCCGACGTTTTCTGATGAAGTTTGTATCATCCGTTCTTTCTTTCTTTCATCATCTCAGATCGAAATTTCAATCAATGAATTTAAGACATCTTTGTAAACTATTTTATGATGAATAACGAAAAATCGCTTTATAATTGCAATCGTTTCAATAAAAGTCTCGATTTACGCTCATTTGAAATGATGAATTGGTTCGATCTGCAAACGCGAATTATTCTAACAATGAGTATTCAATTCAGATCAAAATCCAGTTACCTGTTTCACTCGACTTCACCGATCATCTGCTGTTCACATTCACACACATCTCAGTTGCCGGTGCTACTGCTTCTAAAACACCAAACGAAGTATGTCTGTTCATCTATTTTCAGTGAAAACTATCTGTTCACTTGAATGTTATTGTAATAATACATTAGAATCAAGATTGAGCCATTGTTATGCTGGTTTCAATACTGGCGATCGGGCTAGGCCTTATCAGTAGACAAATGAAGTTATGGCTAGATTTATCCCATAAACATGAAATCGATGCTGTTAGC